AGTACTTTAAACTGTATAAATAATGTAAAATTAAATTGATTTAAACTGCCAATCATACGAAAGTCTTCCTATGAAATTTAATCCTAGAATCTGTAAAATTTGAGATTGCCCTTTAACATTGCAAATTATTAGATCACTCTTAAGATATCTTCATTAAAAAGTTAAATAGGTAATATTCAATTTAGAATTTTTACAAATTTGAATAGAATTATCGCAGGAAAAATCCGATCATTTACAATATTCAAGAGCAATTCCGATCCTATATCCCTAAAATAAAGTATTAAATGTTGAAACATTCTCGGTATTTCTTGAAAAAAGTCAGGCGATTTTCAGAACTTCGTGACAAACACGAGTCTCGTATCCACGTGATGAAAGATTGATAATAGATCAGGTGTATAATGTGCGTAAAATCAATTAAAGCAAAATTTTTCAAAAATTGAGTAACCTAAAATTTTTCCTATGAAACTAGAACTCAGTATCGCCTATTTAAAAAAGTTTTCTAATTCAGTTTTCATTCTTAAAACTAATTTACATGAATAAATAGCTTTTTTGTGTTATTCATATGGCAGAAACACGTGTCTTGACGTGTAATTTAAACGCAATAAAGACCAATGATTAATCATTTACATACCGGTAGGCAACTTTATTATGTTTAAAGAAGATTTTTTGTCGAGTACGTTATATCAGGCAAGTATATTTAACACTTTGTTTTGAATATACCTATGGCTCAACTATAATATCCTACGATGCAGAGAAATACTGCATTTAATGTGTGCCTCTCTCGATCGATTTTGGAAAGTTGGTGTCATATTCCTGCTAGGTTCAGCCTAGCAAATGAGATTGGCAACTTCTTTCCAATATATTTCGATTTGATACGGGGGGAAATGCTGCATTTACTGTGTGCCTCCCTCGATCGATATTTGGAAATAGTGCTCCGAAAGGGTCATTAGGGTTGGGTTTAGGGTTAAACCCGAACCCAACCCTCGTAGATCAGGTCATAATTTATTATTATAAAATTAATTCATAAAATTAAATAGGACTAGAAATAGTTATGAAATCTATCAAAGTACTTTGAAGCTTCCAATCATTTGCAATCCAATGCCACGTAATAGCAAAAAATAAATAAATATTTGCCGAAGTCCAACAGTCTAAGGCGAATGAAATCTTTCCTAGAATGTTTGTAATAATAATATCCTGATCCGTTGGGAATTAGCGGAGACGAAGTTTCCGCTAATTCACATACGGTCAGGGTATTATTAATTATAGCGGTTTGCAAAAAGGTGTGACCTCTGCAGATCATAATGTCATGTAAAATCACGAGAAATCAGCCGATTCTATTAGATTTTTCGATTCTTAGAGAATTTTAAAGATTCCGAATAAACTATAGACGTTATTGATCGAAAATTATGATCAATAGGGAATTAAAATCTCGGAAATTTTCCGCTATCATCATCACGAAATCACAGGGTCACACCTTTTTGCAAACCGCCATAATCCTCCCGTGATCTTGAATAGTGATCGGGGGATTATGTAAATAAATATATACCGGTACTTTAAAAACATAGGATCGGACGTCAAATCATTAATTCTGAACCCTAAATCTCGGAATTATTCATGTGACTGATTACCAAAATCTATCTCTCCAACTTCAGAATCTGTAAGATTACCTTTTTTGTTTGGATTACTTTTAATTATTATCGATATTTAATAATTAAATTCGAGCGATTATCTCTTATATCTAAAATTTATAATAATCGTTAAATTTTTGATATAAACTTAATAGAATCCATTCTACAACGTTGAAGACTTTCGTAGAATGCACTAGAGGATTGACAAGGTAATAAAATAACGATGAATAATCATAACAAGTGCGCTGATCAGATTACAAATAACAGCAGTTCTTTATTTCATTAAGTGCAGGTTTTTTGCAAGATAATAAAACAACGATGAACAATCATTACCTATTTTTTAATACTTATATTCACAAATGCGCTGATCAGATTGCAAATAACAATTCTTTATTTCATTAAATGCAGGTTTTTCGCAAGGTAGTAAAATAATGATGAATAATCATTACCTATTTTTTAATATTTACGTACATGCTTTATTCACAAATGCGCTAATCAGATTGCAAATAAAAGTTCTTTATTTCATTAAGTGCAGGTTTTTACCATTTTATCCATATGATCCTGGCGAAATGTGGTAATAAAATATTATTATATAATGGCTTAGATCTTTGGCCTATCGTTGTAATGATCGCTAAATGAAAACAATATTTAGATCTGGCGATCTGAATCTGTAAATCGGGTAGATCTAAACTCGACGTCGATCTCTCTGCTGTTGTAACCTTATACATTACGAAGTTGTGGCATTTTTTGGGTTAATATCGCCGAAAAGTAGTGCCAACTTTTCTATGTATAACAAAGAATTTGGGGCGACAAACGTACGAAATTTTACTTCATCCCTTAATGTTGTTTTAATTCAATTTATCTAAAGTCTTGAACATGCCACGAGTCATGCTATTCGTAATATACAACTTTATAACTATATATAGTTAGATTCGTTGCTAATTAAACAAGACCCAATTCTTGACGAGATAAGTCAATTGTCAAGAAAATCAATCTTTCAGGTTTACGATTTGAAGATCGAGACACGAAACAAAATAAAAGCCTCGAAAGGCTTAGGATGAATTTTATTTCATATCGTCAAATATATATATGCATTGCCATATATATATATATTATAATTTCTTTTTTTTTTTTTGTTTAAACCAAACGACGCGTTTTAATCATGGATTCGATTGATATAACTGAAGAAGAGAGTAACACCCAAAAGACATTATTAAGGAAAATTGACCTAAAAATTGTTCCTCTTGTAACCTTTCTTTATATGATAAGTTATCTAGATAGGTAAATTTACTTGTGAATTTGAAATACCGGTAAATCATATTTAATAATATATATCAACATATAATACAAATTTTTTTTAATTAAGGATAAGTATCGGAAATACAAAGCTGGAACATTTGGAAAGCGATCTTGGGTTAACAGATAATCAATATAATTGGGCTTTGTTTAGTTTCTTTTTGTGAGTTCAAATTTATATATGCATAATTTATGTTTTTTTTTTTAAAAAAAAAAAAAAGATTGATCTGATTATTTACTATTCAATATAGTGGATATATACTCTTCGAAGTGCCATCAAATTTGATATTATACAAGGTTCAGCAACGACTTTCGATCTGGAGTAAGTTATTCTTGTTTGCTGTTATTATTATTTTATTATTATTATTTTGTTATTTTATACAATTAAAATGCCCCTTCTGCCTTTTCATTATATAGTTTCTGCGATATTGCTTGCTTGTGGAATAGTAATGATACTTATGATTTTCGTAAGAGTCTTAACTAACACACTATTATTTTATTTTATTTTATTTTATTTATTTTTTTCTTACCTCTGAAAACTCAAATTTTACACAATATATAATGTAGGTAAAAAACTTCCTTACGATAATGGTAGCTCGTTTTCTCTTAGGTGTTTTTGAGGCAGGATTAATTCCTGGAATGATATATTATATTACAATATGGTATAAACGATCAGAACAAAATTATAGGGTGGGCGCAATTCTCTCGGGTCCTACGTTTGCTGGTGCGTTAAGTGGATTGTTATCATATGCAATTATTAGTTTATTAGATAGTAAGGCAGGACTGGGTGGCTGGCAATGGGTATGTATGCCGATACATAACTATCATGTGTCTTTATAATATTTATATTCAATTTATAGTGATAATGTTGTTCCTTTAGATCTTTTTAGCGTGTGGAATAGTTACAATTATATTTTCTATTATTGCGTATTTTTTAATTTTTGACTCTGTGGAAAATGTCAAATGGCTTGATAAAGAAGAGCGAAAACGTGTTAGTACTGGAGTTAAACGTGACGAATTACAGTATACTGAAGAAATAAGTAAAGATCTTGTACTAGAATGTTTGAAAGATTGGGTATTTATTGTATTTATTATTTATTGAATTTATTAAATACCGGGAGGTTTTTTTTTCTTACTCTTTCTTTTTGCTTATATTGCATTTATACATTTAGAAAGTATGTGTATCGATGTTTATATTTTGCGGGATTTCAGTTGCAACTTATTCCTTTTCGTTTTTCATTCCTTCAATTATTAATGGATTCGGTTTCAACGAAGGTAAGCACAATAAAATAAAATAAAATAAATAAGTTTTTATATTTTTGTGAGCATTAACTAATTAGGCTTGTATATATACTATCTAGTCTTATCTCAATTATTAGTAGTACCACCATTCATGCTTGGATGTATTTCAGAAATAGGTGTTGCATTTTTATCAAATCGTGTAAACCTACGTGGTCCTTTTGTGATATTATTTGCAACGATTGGAATTTTTGGCTATGCGATCGTTGGAACAATACAAAGTAACGCAATTCGTTAGTATACTTTTTTTTTTAATTTATTATTAATTAATAAATAAAAAATTGCTGAATTTTTTTTTTCTATAAATTTTTTTTTTTTTTTTTTCAGTTAAGTATATAGGAACTTGGTTAATCGCGATAGGCGCGTTTCCATGTCGTGCGACTTCTACCACATGGTATGTGTTTATTTAATTCACTGTATTTCATTTCTTACTGTATTTTCGCGAAATAACGCGCAGGGGCGTTATTTCGAATTTTGACCTGAATTAAGCTTAATTCGGGCTAATTTTCGAATTACACCCCTGCACGTTATTTCGCGAGAATGCGGTAATTATTATTATTATTATATATATACAATTATTTATTTTATACTTTCTTAAAAAAAAAGGTTGGCGAACAATATTGCACCATCCTTAAAACGTAATATTGGGATCTCATTGACGGTTGGTTCTGGTAGTATCGGTGGTATAATTGCTACCCAAATTTATCGTTCAGTGGATTATCCAAATTATACTTTTGGTCATCTTATTTCATCAATTTGTTTATTTTTGGCAGTTTGTTTGAGTATAATACAATTTGCAATATTAAAAAATAATAACAAGAAAATGAAAGTACAAAGGAAAAAAATTAGACGAGCTGTATCATGGAACTTGGAGTCGGGTGAATTTGGCCATTTTTTGTAAAATGTAGTTTATTATTCATAATTGTAATTAAAGGTAACGAAACGCTTATTAATTATTATAATAATGAAAAAATATATAATATATGGTAAATTCAAACAAGCTACTATATACTATAGTACCGGACAATTGATTCTACTGAACATACTGTATAAACTGGAACAATATCCAATTATTTGACTTATAAAAGTGCCTAACATCGTATGTCTATTTTATCAAACTGTAAAAGTTCACTATAACTACAGTATAATAATAATCTTGTATTAATTAAGATTATATTGATAAGTGATCTGATAAAATTTAACTATGTATCTAATAAAATTTAACTATGTTATGTATCTAACTATATACTGTATTATTGAATATCTATCTTTCTGTCTGATGGCACCTCATTCTCATCCTTTGGAAACGTTACTTCAAGAATACCTTGTTCAAACTTAGCAGTGATATCTGAAGTTTTAACGTTACGAGGGAGAGAAATAGCACGAATAAAGCTTCCATAACTATGTTCTTGAATATGTATATTTCCTTCTTCATATTTTTCAACCCGTTTAGTTTCACCAGAAATTGCATTTTCACGAACATCAACATTGATTTGTTCTTGTTAAGAATTTTTTGTAAAATTACAAAAAATATGAACTAAATAAAATCTTGACATACTATATATATATATATAGGTAATTCAGCATTTACAATATTTTCAATTTTCATTTTCGCGAACATCAAAGATGGAGCCCAACTGCCAGGTACTGAATTCTCGAAATGACCAAATTTATGTTCAGGCCAGTATAAAGACATTTTGGTTTAATTTAGTGTGATATAATTTATAGTGTTAATTGGCTTAATTCGCTTTTGAACTTGTTGAATTTGAAGCTTGGTTCATGAGTCCACTATTTATACAAAAAACTTTGTAGTTCTAATTCTAATGAATACTATATATATATGTTGTGCCTCAGATTAATGCTTGCGTCAGATGTCAACTTTTTGGCCCGCATTAACTGATCGATATT